AAGAGAAAGGAGAGACAAGATTTTATATAAAGAAGTTTTTGATAAACTTACAGAAGTGGACTAATATTAAAAGTATTTATTCTGTTTTTTTGTAGACATTAACTTGTGCACTCAGCCTTCTGTTTTACCCATTTGTGTATTGTTCAAGCAGGACCAAGGAAAAAAGAGCCTCAGACCTTTTGAATGTGGAAAATACTTTTTTAACTTCTAAAATACTGATCTGGATTCAGCTTCTTGCCACACCATGAGAGCCAAGTCTGCCCTCCTGATACTGGGTGAGTGATGTCTGTCATAAGTTGAAATTTATTTTTTTAAGAATGTACAATAATACATTATATAAAGCTGATCTAATTTCAAGTTATCTTCAAAAAATTCAACAATTATTTAAATTTCCTCATTGAATTTAAACACAACATAGAAATACATTATGACCTCATCTGCTCTACCCACATTATTTCTTACCACATGACCAGTCAGTGGAAGAAAACTGTTTTCCTGTCTCTAGCAACAAGAAACAACGCTGATGCATTTTGACATATGAAAAACAGCTAAACGCTTTATTCAAAAGTGGTAGTATTACTGAAAAGATAATTGACTTATTATGATGCATTATACTGTATGATTTAAAAAAATATTAGTGTTGAATACAAGGATTAAAATATTAAAGGCTCCATTAAAAGGGTGAACATTTCTTGTCTTATTTGTTTGCTTTTCAGCTTTGATCTCTACTGTTAAATCTGAAACAACATGCGGTGTTGGATTTTATTTATCTGAAGACAAATGTGTTGGTATGTAAATAAAAAAAAAAACTTTCTAAATGGAACAGATAGTTATATGAGATATGTGTAGCTCTCTAATAAAAATTCGAAATACTACATTGTTGTTTATCATATTCATAGATATCTATTTTTTTGGATAATTTTTCATTCTTTATTAACTCAAAAACTTCTTTTCATCATTTATAATTTTCTTTCTATATGTCTTTATTAGTAAATTCGAACATTATTTCATTCTGAAATAATTTTTTCACTATTCTCATTCCTTAACATAGATTATGATGAATGTGCTTATCCCAGACCAATTTGCGACCTGAAAGCAAATTGTTTCAACACACATGGCAGTTTCTACTGCCAGTGTAAAGAGGGTTACAGGTCGCCCTCCGGAGCTGTAAATTTAACTGTCATACAATCTGCAAAATGTCAAGGTAAGTAGTCTTTATTAATATTGATGATTGATAATATAATTTCTTATAAATCTTTTTTCTTTTCTAATCTGTTTCAACAAAGATATTAATGAATGCATTGACAAAGATCTCTGTGGACCAAATACCGAATGTATCAACACAATTCCCAACTACTATTGTACTTGTAAAGAAGGATTTCAGTCTTCTACTGAAGCGAAAACATTTAATCGCACTGACAACGTCTCCTGCTTAGGTAACACATTGACTTCCTGTGCCGTGGTGTTCGTTTTGCTCTCCATTTAGAGTGTTGGCTCAGAGTTAGTTTTTCTCTGAAATGTTTTTTTTCCTCCATTTCTGCCCCTCTTTCACACAGATAAAGATGAATGTAAAGATGAAAATGTTTGTGGTTCAAATGCAACCTGCATAAACACACCAGGCAGTTATAACTGCACCTGCAACGCTGGTTACATACCTAAATCTGGAAAAATGACCATTATTGGGGAGAGACAGGAATGTGAAGGTGAGGTTTTAGACCTGATATGAGAAGATTTTACAGAATTGAAATCCTTTCTTTAAAGATTTTGAAAATGATTATGTTAAATCCACTGTAAAAACATTGAGTTGAAATGAGACATACTAGTTGAACACTGTAATGGCTCTGACTGAAACAAACTGCCACGCAATTTGTTTTCCCCTTCTTGATTTGTTTCAATTTCCAGATATATGTAAGACTGATGAAACAATCTGTGGAAATGGAACATGCCACCAAGGGACCAGTGGTCATTATTGTGCATGCTCTGCAGGGTTTACTAACTACGGCAACAAAAAATCTCGTTGTACTGGTAAGAGTAAAATCAGCTCTTAGTTTCTTTTGGACAGCAAATATAAGCAGGTTTTAAGTCTTAGAAGAAAAAAACTTGAAAAAATCATTTTCACAAAGTCAATTAATATTTTTCTTTCTTTAAGAACTGGACTGTGGCATTTTCAGAGATGTCAATAATCTAGCAGAGGTAACTGTTGTTTCTATTTATTTTTACCCTCATGCTCTTCCTTAATGTCTCTTATCATTGACACCTTTCAAACTGTTTCTTGGTTTGGTTTTAGAATTTTCACATTGTACATGATGGTGTGAAGCTACTGAGTAAACGCTGCCTAAAGCTAAAAAACTAGTTTTTCGAAACATTTTTTATTCTCAAAGACAACAGACAAGAGGAAGTTCTTCACCCATATGTCATTAGATGGTGTGCAGCTATGCCACCAAAAAGTCTGTTCTCAGTCTGACTCTGCTTTATGTTTAATCTTTCCTACATGCATGATGTTTCCTTTTCTCTCCCCATAATATAGAGCCTGCTCTCCAT